ACCCTCCTTAATGTGAACTTCTTTCAGCACTGAACCTGAATGTCTTCCAGAGCCTTATTGATCTAAGTATATCAACCTGTTGTTTGTGCTGCCTGTCTGTCTGTTGCAGTTAGTCTAATAAGTCTGTTGGGGTATTCAATTCTGTGTTTGGTAGAGTGACTATGTTTTGTACTCAGTACATCAGAGGTGTGGAAACAAAGAAGTAATCTGAGAACCCATTCAGTGGGAGCAAGTCCTGAAGAACTTTTACCTCTGCAAAGAATATTGTTTCAGAATTAAGAATATCTGGGAAGTAGACATGGCTGTGGAGCTGTCTAGGAGTCCTACGGATACATGAGAGCAAGAACCCAGTTCTGTGAACATTGAAGTGAAGGAATGAGAAAAAAGGGTTGGTTCTGCGTCACATAAAAAATTGTTAATCGTTAGGAACTTGTGTCTGCTGGGAAGCAAACACTGAAAGGGAACAGGGATGTAAGAGTCTTAAGAGTTTGATCAGGGACCCAAACCTCTGAAAATCAAAACAGGAAAAAGTCAGGGGTTGAGCAGGTAAGCCTCAGACCACAATGCTAAATCTGAGAGTCTTGACCAACCCAAAGGGAACTAGGAATAAAAGCTGCCCATGAGAGGAATCCTGCACTGGGCAGAAACAGACAGGCCGAAAGAACCCCATTAATCTTAGTCACTATCTAAGAACTACCTGATAAGGTGAATTCTGAAGGTGGAGTCTGTCAGCTAACTTCATTCCTTGCCGGAGAACCACAAGGTTTTTTATTGAAGGGAAACTCAAATAGCATACCTCCCTGGCTGCTATGGAACTTTAAATAGTTTTAAAATATTTGGGAAAGAATGGAATGTTGAATGAAACCACTCTTTCAACCTTCGTTGTAGCCAGTGGGGGTGAGGAGGGAGGGCTACAATCGAAAGGTAATTTAAAATAATCCTAATATATTCAGTCATTCTGTTAATCAGCATACTTTTTTAATCATTTGTGGTTTGGGTGCCTAAAAAAAAGGAGGTTTTACTTGTCATTGTGTTTATGGGAAATTGACAGTTATTAATTGTTTTTAAGCTTGAACCAGTCCTTATTAGAATTCAAATGTATTTCCCACTACTGAGTCCAATATCTATGTAATCATTTATCTTAGAGTGAATTTTACTGTAAGCGTAATATTTACAAGAAGCAATTTGTCATTCCTGGGTTAAGTATAGAAACTTCAATATTTTCTGGATAAATATGTCAAAATAACTAAAATTCAAGCAATAGAAGAGAATGGGAAGCTTATAATATAGTGTCTTATATTAGACTTGGGAGGTTTGCTATTTGGTTTGACTCTGTTATCATTGTTTTATAAATATAATTTTCCAATTATTACCCATCATTAGTATTAATGGCATTAATGCTGGTAATCTGTCTCACTAAGGATTTCAAAGTGCGATATTTTTTCTAAGCTAAATGAGTTCCAGGACTCCAGCAGCAATTCCCACCTTGATTTGCTGCACCCGAAGTCTCCAAATACAATTAATTTTCATTCATATAAGAATATACCCATTTTGGGTTAGGAAATGGAGTGGCAGATACTCACAAACAATTTTGGCACATTTCCACTCCCTAAATACTTAGATCTCTAATCTAATTGGCACCATATTCCCCTTTCTGTCACGGTAGACAGCACTCCTTGTCATTTAAACATTTCTCTATGCGTGTGTTCCCAGGTCTGGAAGCCTGGAAGAACACATGTGCAAGCCGAAGGCTGAGGCCCAGGAGGTACAAATGATCCATCATGCTTATGCCCACTGTTTCTCCTTTCTGTGACCTGCTCCCCAGTTGTGCCCTAACATTCCAGTTGGTCTGTCTCCATTTCCCACTGATCCTCTACTCTATGCTCTGAGCATATGCCACTGATTGCCCCAGCTCGTGGCGCTCTCTCCTGCTGCCCTGTCTCTGTCCTCGTGTTCATTCACCCTGGCCTTCTCCTCCTGCATCCCTTACTTGCCCAAACAGCTTCTACTCTGTCATCAAGAGTCACATCACGCATCATCTAGCTTATAGAGAACTCCTTAATTACCCCCAACCGTGTTTTGCCTTCTTTGCTTTCTTTTCTCTGTTTGTTTTGTCTTTGTACAGTTGTTCAATATTAGTATCAATCTGTTTACATACCTGTTTCCATCATTTTTGCTAAAAACTGAAGGCAAGTATCATACATTTTCATATATATACCCTAGGTACTTGCTGACAAAACACCGCATTTTTATTGAATGAATGAATGAATCCCTCCTCTTCATTCTAGTGAACCAGGAGGCCACCTCCTTCACAGTCACCCTCTGAGTTCCTGCTGCAGGGTCCCTCCCACACTAGCAGCACAGGTGGGGCACCATCCTCATTACCCCTACACAGTGCCACATACGCCAAAGGAGCTTTCTCTCTACCTTAACTGAAATCTGACCTTTCCTTGGCATGCTGATCTTCAACCTTGTTACTACAAAAAAGTATCTCTGATAGAATAATTAGAACTACTGTGAATTCATGTGTCACTCTAAGTGTAAATTCGTTCATGTGTTAATTTTGCCAGTAGTGAGTGAATTGAAAAAGAGACTGGGAAGCCAGTAAAACATAGAAATGAACCCCTAATGGTGGCATTTCAGGAAATAGGAGAAGACAGATGGGAAGATATTTCTGGACCAGAGTGCTTCTGGGTGCCCTTCACATGTACCACACAAGCCATTTCCATTCCTGTACAGAAGGTTGGATCTGCTGCTACGACACTCTCTGGTTCTCCTGGGAATAGTATTTCTATTTTTGTCTTTTATGAAAAGGTAAAAACACCTGTCCTTCTGGTTGTCAGTGAACAGGAAGGAGCCCCCTCTCATGTAGTGACCAGAAAAAGCCAATAACAAGCAGTCATCTTTTTTCTACATTCAGTAGACACCATAATAACACTTCCCAGTTTAGAGATAGACAATGAAGTTCAGTGGAAACATATTTGTAATAATTATAATTATACCTTACACTGATTAAGTGTTTACCCAGGTGCTATGCTAAGCCTTTTCCTTTATTTCTTACACCAACCATATAAGTAAGGTTATTTTATTATCCACATTTTATAAGGAAGTTACTTAACTTGCCCAGGGTCGAACAGATAAATGTCTGAGTCACAAAACTGGTGCCCAGAAAGTTGTGACTCATACCACTAAATATGCCATCTGGAAGGCATCCCCTGGTTTAAAGAAGGGGCGCCTAAATTATGGTTACATGTCGATATACAATCTAGCACTACTGGTACTATTATCACTTGCTTTATATGACAAGATATTTATATTTACCTTTCCTTTTCTATTCATGAGAGTACAGAAGACATCATAATTTCTGAATCCAATTTTTACCTTAAATGACAGGTATAGGAAATATAAACACTTTGCTGTTATTTTCAATATTTTTTCAGCAAAAATTTATGAAATATCTACAATAGGTAAAGGACAATTTCAAAATATTTAGGGAGATATTTTAGAGGAAATCATATGGTCCCTGATTCAAAAGTGTTTACAACCTGAAAAGTAATATTAAGACCTCAGTAATATTACAAGTCCAACCTGCGTACAAGCTGTATCCAAATAGATAGAAAAAAGCCTGAGAAGTCACCCATCCACTTAGACAGCAATCAGACTATTGGATGTCAGAGACATAAAATAACTATTGTCTCCACCCTCTTACTTTCAGGCAATTGTTTCCTAAACACTGTTAAAGTCACTAAGTTTGCATACTTCAGAAACTCCAGATCTTCAGTAAATCTCATGGAAGTGTGTGTTGGCATTTTCCTTGAGATTTCTTTTAAAGTATCACTTCTGTCCATCAAGTCAGAGTTCTTAACAAGTGTAGTATATTTAAATTTTTTTTTATCTTTCCTGACAGTCTGTAGAGTCCCAATAGCAGCAAAAATCTAACTGAACTCCTACTACTCTCTGCAAATATGCTCATATGTTTATGTTGAGAGTTTTAATGCCATTTGTTGAAATACATTTAACCTATACCACTTGGTTCACACCACATTAATGCCAGCTCCTACAAGGCTATGAGCAATGCAGCCAACTAGTTGGTTTGACTGATTTTTCCTTTGAATTCACCTAATTGCCAGGCTGTTTAAGTATCTGCAGACACCTTTACACAAAGAGAAGGCAGGCTTCACATTAGCTTGCTAAAAGAGGGTTATTATTTTCTTCTGAGATCTGCTATGGACCTATATTGAGTGGTTGTTGGCAAGAGTTATCATCGTATTTGCCCTCTCCTCTTTCCCATTTTTAAAACAAGAATATGAATATAAAACAACCCAGAAAACTCTAAAGATGCTAAATGAATAAGTTAATAATCATTGTTTATTTAAAGATACATCTGTATTGTTCAAAGAGAGGGATTTCTTTTACCCTGAAATGCCAATAAGAAGCAATATGAAAAACAAAAATAGCAACTTAAAGAGATTTTTGAAAAGCTCCCATTCAGTAGTACAGTTGGGTTCTTTTCAGATAATCATTAAGAAATATTTAAGTACTATTTTCTATTTACATTGCAGTACGTATCACTGGCTCTTTGAAAGTTAACAGGGATTTTCTTTCAAAATAAATATTCCACTTAACTAATTGTCTGTGTTCTTTCACTGCTGTCTACGCCATTCAAGCCAAAACACTGATCTCATTCAAAACTCAGAATTTCATCCAAACGTGTTTACCTGGCCACTAATAAAAGATTTGGGGTATGCTGTCTAAAATCCTAATGACAAAATAGGGAGAATCATAACATGTTTGTAAAAATCGGATCGGACCGAACATCAGCTAATTTGAGTATATTTTGCTCTATGATTAACCAGTTCTTAATGACAACATTTCTTATCTTACAACTGTGACATGAAGAGGGAGCTGTAGCTCTTCTGAGACACAGTTCTGCAAGAACCAGCTTATCCACGCTCTCCGATCCCGTGTCTGTTTCTCTTTCTCTCTCCCTCTCTTGCGCTGTCCCTCATTCATGCACTCTTCCATCTTTTTGCCATTGTGCCAGCTCAATTTAAATGTATCTGCTCTGTATCTGTTCAAGTGGAGATAATCCATGCAAATCAGGAGCCGTGGCTCTCAATGCCTGGTTCACAGAGAGGACTCAGCTTGAGGAGGTCACTCGTTCACAGCCGCTCCTCCCATTATATTTTTCCCCTTATTGCAGAACTGCTGTATGTATACAGTGACTGAAAGGACTCAATTTACTGCAACTGCTGCCTGGCTTTACTTACAACTTTTTTTTTATAAAGGAATTTACCTCCATCTGTCTTTTCAAGGTAGGAAGTCTGATTCTTCTAAAGACGTGTGTAATGCCTCCACTGTCTGCTCATTATCAAATGTCACTTGAATGCTTTATATTGTTGCTGGCATTAGGCACAAATACTGTGATTCCAGGTGCCTCACGCTTTTGTTACTTAACCATATAGGTACAATTGTTTAAGTGCCGGTTATTATAATGTTTATTTTCCCTGCAGCCAGCTTCAGTTTTACAATGCCAGAAAGATTAGAGTATCCACTCTGTAATGTAGAAATATAATCCTCTATCAAGTTTTCCCTCTTAGAAAAATATTAATTTCTCAGTATGTTTTAACTTATTATGTATGCTGGCCAATAATAGCCAAGTGTAAAATTCAACCGTGTTAAGATTTTTTTTTTTTTTTTTCAACCTGGAGAGTCCTCCTGCAGCATTTTCTGTGAAAAATAACTAACTGTTGAAATGTTTCTAACAACAGCAATAAAATAATAGATTTTACTTCATTTTGCTGCAAAGCAAAAACCTGAAGGCCTTATTGCTAACAGGCCTGTCAAATAGATTTATTCTTCACCATTTTTAAATTGTTACTAGGCTATGCAGAAGTATTACAATTAGTTAGGATTCAGTTACTGTCATTATCCATGTGATTATTTATTGTTTTGAGATTGAAATTATATTATGAAAAAGTTTAAATGTAGCAAGGCTTTTAAAAACCCTGATGTTTGTATAACACTGTTTGAGATCAATTTTTAAGAATGATTTCAATAGCCAAATGATTAAGTTTGGACTAAAAATGCATGTAAGAGGCTAGCAGATTTGACAACATACATGGTGATTTATGTAAGCAATTCCTGGGCTTACATTACTTCATATGTGTCTCCTTGAAGTTACTTATAATATTTTAATCATTCTTTAGTCATATCAATTTTAAAACATACTAAGGTGTCATAACATTATATACTTAAAAATCTCTTTTTGACTAGTACAAATATAATTAGAACATTCCAGTTATAATTTAGATTTCAATAAATGTAATATGTCTTTGAAAGTACTCCTTATTAATATAATTTTGCATTTATTACCTTATTTTTCTAAGAAGGCTTTGACATGTGGCTATGACAAGGCAATTTAATCTCTTATATAGGATAGAATTGAACATAAACAGTAAACAAAGTTGACAGTCCTGAAAAGAAGAAAAAATTATCCTCTGGTATACCGAATAGTTCTGATGACATAAATCTTACATTTCATCTTCTAGGTAGATACTTGTTAGTGGAGTTCGAGGGAAAAAAATTTATTATCCACATAAAATATCTCAATGCCAAAAATGTGCAGTTCTTTTTCTTTTTGATATGGAGTCTTCTATTGAAAAAAAAAATGCACCCTGATTTTTGAGTACAGTATAAGGCATGAAGCCCTGTCATTGTTAGCATAAAGAAGACATCTACACAAGTATTACTGTGCAGAGGGCAACCATTCTGTCTCTGGCATTTGTTAGGTTACTGTACGTAGAATTTAACAGATAAATATGTTCTGCTTCGTGGCATTTTAGTGATCCTATTGGTATGCAAGCTACTCAGCTAGGATAGCAACAGAAAAAAAAAAAAAGATATATGTTTTTTAGCAGTGGGTAATAAAAGCCCTTCACAGTGAGAGAAGAGGAATTTGACTTATTTCTTACGCAGTAATTAGAATTTCTTTAAAATTCTTTAAAATACTGAGTTGTAAAGTAAACTGAGGCTTTCCAGGAAGGGCTAATTGAATTTATCTATTTGAGCCATGTAGTTGTCCATGAATATCTTCTTCACAGACACTGTCCCTGGAGAATTCCATTCACACCTTCAGCATTACAGGGAAAGAAAAGGATCCTTTACTAAAAGTAAAGGATGATAATTTCATATTTAAAACGAGTTTGAGAACAGCACCCTACACAGGAAAACCTTAACAGATGGAAAGGTGTATGGGATTGCCTGGTTATGTGAACTTGAGACTAGTGTGAAACTAAAGGATGCCCTTTCAGAACAAAGGAATGCCATGGAATACTCTGTCAGCAGTCAAGCTGAGGATAGATACAAAAAGTGGCCAAGGAGATCTTTTGGGGACAGGGAAAATGCAAACAACCAGGCATTCTCTTTTCAACCAAATTACTATGGTTTGACAGGTATAAAGGCACTCCCCATGGACCCTCAAACCATCGTTTCACAGAGAGTTATTTCAAAAGCACATATTTTATAGACTTTCACATTTGTTTGCAAACCTCCGAGAAAACTCTCCAAAGACCTAACTTGTATGCCTTAAGTTAGGTTTTACAACTATGCATCCTAAATAAAATGGTCACAACCTTCAACTCCCTTGGGTTTCCTTTGCTTTATCTGTAAACTTGCCATTCCTCTAGTAACTCATTCAAGTAACTGTTCAAGATAAGTTACATTTTACTCCATTTTAGTGTGCCTTGCAGCAGAATCTATAGAACTGGTAAACTTTATGGCTATATATAATACCAGGTTGTTATTCCCACCTGGCTCTTTTCTGCTGCTTTTACTGAATACAGTTAAAAAGATAAATTATCATCTTAAAAGGATGCTATGGAAGGGTTAATAAGTTCTATCTAACTTCAGGAGTGTTCACTGGGGCCATAGAAACTTGCAACCCCGCTTAAAGGGAAATGATGTGCGTCATCAGCAGACATTCACTGCCAATATCATCTGTAAATATTTTAAATTTCAGGAAGGATTCTATAATGCCACATATATTTCCTAAATCATGGAAGTTATTGCTGCATATGGGTTAATTATGATATTGAGCGAAAACCCTACAGATTTTGCTTTATAGGTAATAACTTAAATTTGTACACCACCACTAAGGGGTCAGTGAAACCATCATCCCCATTTCAAAGATAAAGAGAGTTACAGAGAGGTTAAGTAACTTAGCCAAGGCCACACAGTCGGGGTAGAACTGGGATGTGAACTCATTTAGTCTGTTCCTGGCTTTGAAAAATCACACAATAATGCCTTCCTAAATCTCTGATGACTAATAGTAGGGACATTCCACTCCCCACAAATAGCAAAAGTGCTTCAATTTACCCATTTGTCATCTGGATTCATATATCTGATCCTGATTTTTCAACTCTTTTCAAAGCTCTTCACCTCAATCTGCATTATCATGATCACACAGTTTTTTAAAGTTGTTTCATTTAATGCATGTCAGGAATGGTTACTCTTGCAGAACATTTGTCTTTTACCTCAAGGAGTTAAGAACTAAATCAGATCTGTAATTGACTGACTTGTCTACTGACAGCCTTTGAAGAGCCACCACTCCCCACCTTGTTTTTCTGTCTACAGAGCAAGATTGACATCTCTTTATATGTTTAAAATTTGTCAGTGGTGTAAAGTGCTCAGTAATGATGGAAATTAACCTGAGGCTTTATCTGACTACCTTTCCTAGCAACTCCATTGAAGATCTGATAACAATTAAAATTTTGATGCAAACAACTGTTCACATCAGAAAAAAAAATATTTTTTTTCTATCTTGTCATACCTTTCTTCAAAATATTCTGGGTAGTAGTGGCTCTTTTCCTCACTTTTCACTGCACTGGATGCATCTGAATGAAAATTTCCCCAGCCAAAATACACCAGCACATTAGAAAAGGAGATAAAGAAAACGAAGTAACAATGCATGTTGAAACGATCTGACGGTGAAACACTGAACATAATTTATCTCTTCTTGTGTCAGTAGTTGTTATCTCCTTAAGGAGAACTGAGTAAGAACAGGTCTGCACAGGGTAGCATTTGTGGCCTTACTTCTGTCTGTTTATTTGGGATAGCCTTTGAATTGTCTCCCACTTTCTTTCCTCCCACTGTGAACAGATGAACTATTATGTATGTAACCCATAGGGATGTGATTCAAAGACGGTGTTTATTTGACCTGTGGATATCAGATATCTAATATAAACCAAAACCCAAACAGCATCAACACATAATCAAGTGGCAGTAGTTTGCAGAACATGGGTCAGTAGCAATTAAGCAAGCTACACATTTCTCAAGTAACAAATGGAAAACAATTTTGATGGTCTTCTGTGATACCAGCATTCTTTTTAGATCTTCTCTGAAGTATCAGGCAGACGGACTGCCCTGTATATTCACAACCTCTATCTGCTGGCAGGCAAAAAGCCCAAGAACCTACCTTTAAAGTTATTTTAATATATCAGTTTTGCTCGGATTAGCCAAGTTAGATATCGACCATTGGTATGGGAAAGGTTGGGAATTAATTTAAATTTGAGCTAACCTCGTCATCATCTCTTGCTGAGTGAGTCCCTTAGCCTGTGAGACATTCTTTCCAGATTTGATTTCTCCATTACTTGGTTGATACTCTCTCCTTGAAAGGAAAAAAAAAAACAAAAAAAGAAAGGAGAGTGAAGAGAAGAGTGGTGAGAAGAGAACAGAGGATGGTGACTTTGAGTCTGTGCTGATAGAAACATTTAATGGAGTTAAAACTGCCCTACAACCATTTGAAGAACGTGTCCCTCATTACTAAATTCTTTGGCTGCAATACTGAACTCCCTATCTAAAAAGATGTCAACTTCCTGCAATTAAATATAAAACCAAGGGATTTTTCTTGCTGAGGAAGGTGTGCAAAAATACTTAAACAACTTAACTCTGAAATGTACTAGCAATCAGTTCAGACTGGACAGTTAACATATTCAAGCTGAAAACTAAAACTTCATTAGATAAGACGTACATTTTGGTAAGCAAAACTTCATTAGATAAGATGTACCAGGATTAGAAGGTCCATTTGTTACTGTTGTTGTTTTATGGTTGTTGTTATATATAGCTCCTTCTATTTTCTCCCAGAAAAATTAATCAAGCGCCCTTTTTGCATTGAGACCTCTTTTCTGCGCATTCACAATGCCTGCAGTTTATATCACGCAAGTCAGGCTCTAATTGTGTTCTTTTTTCATATTTCCCAGGTTGTTTCATGGGTCATATTCTTGTACTCCCAGTAGTTTATAAACTACTTGAGAGT